GCCCAAGGAGGCCTCAGCCCGCACCACCCCCGGGGCTGGCGTCCAGGTCCGGCCTGGCAGGCGGAACACAGGCCAGCGATCCCGCTTCAGCACATCTGGCTTCCCTTTCCCCAGAAACCAGCCTTCTTTCTCCCGGCCCCAGGAACGGCCGCCAGAGCCCGTCCGAAGCCGTGTGGAGCCGCACGCCCGGGCACGGGAAGGTGTCGGGTTCGGGTCGCAGGCCCTCAGCCCCTCAGCCTGCACCCCTCCTGGAACCCAGCCCGCCTTGCTCCCTCTTCTCCCACTCACTGTCCGAGGGGCGAGGGCGCCCGGAGGCTGTCACGGCGCTGTAGGGGCAGCGGCAGGACCTGGAGGGAGAACGTGGGGAGCAGCTGCAGGGGTGCTGGCTCATGCCAGTGGAAGTGGGGTCGTCTTCAGGTGACGGACCGGCTACCGCTGCGGCGGAAAGAAGCACCCGCTTCACAGCGTTCTCTCTTCTAAAAGGCGCCAGCTGGTACTTTTAAAATCTTTGAATTTGGTGCCCAAATCCGCACGGCCCAATGGGACGCGTCTCTCGGACGCGCGCTCCAATGGAAAGGCGGTAGGAGGGGCCGCCCTCACCCAAGCCCAATTGGAGGCTGCTGAGGCGGGGCCAGCCGCAAGGCCCAACCTCCTTCCTTCTGGCCGGCTCCCGGGGTCCGGAAGGATGCTGAAGCCAGGGGCGGGGCCGAAGGCAGGGCCTCGGAGCGCGGGGTGGCGGCGGCCCGGCAGCATGTGCAGGGGGTCTACCACGCATGCGCCCACCCGCCAAGCCTCCTTCGGCTGGAGGAGCCGGACTCCTGCAAGTCCTGACTTCATCCTGAAGGCAACTCCGGCTTCTGTCTGAAGATCTCCGATGGGTACAACGGGTAGCCGACTTTGTCCGATCATCTCATATGCAGGAGATTGGTGAGCGGCGACTCTGATCGTCCGGGAATGCAGACTTTCCGGAAGACGAACCCTCCCCCCAGCCCTACATTGCCCGCCTCTCTAGGATTTAGGCGCGCTCCTCTCTACCCCCTAGTTTCGCCCCTCTCCCCGCCCAATGCTTTTGCGCAGGCGCTTTTGGCGGGCAGTAGATAAAGAGTTGGCGGGTTCGCGCTTGCGCGCCGGGATCCCCGGCGTTTAAGAGGGAAAGGAGAGCTGTCCGTGGTGGGTGTTTCTGCGTTACTGGCGCTTGCTTGCTTGGTCCCGGGGATGCGGTGGCGGGACCTCTGGAACCGCGACTTCCTGGGTCCTTTCGGCGGGGGTGAGGGTGGGACGGAGAGGGACGGACATCTTTCTTGTAAGCGTATTTATTATTTTCAACCACAATTCTCCTGGCACCATTGCTTTGTACGGGCCTTAAGCTTATTAAATTTGTATGTACTCTCTCCTTGCGTTTTGTTTCTTTCCTTCAAGGGCCAAATGCAAGAGACAGTAATTCTGCTGCAAAATAAATTAAATGCCTTGCTTTGGGAGTTTCGATCTCCACACCCTGTGGCTGGAGGCCCCTGGCTAACGGAATGATTTTCTAGTAATGGAGGAATGGGTGGAAATATTCATTGTTAAGGCTTCGATGACAGATCCTACCGTACTATTATTATTAGTCATGCTGAACTTTTCACTCTTTGAATGTGCACTTAAATGGTGACAACACATTCCCTGGACTCAGCTTTTGTCCATAGCACAGTCGCTGCGTACAAGCTCCAAAAGTCCGAATCTTTGTTTTGCAGTTTTACTTTTTAAATTTTATTTTTGCTTTTCTGCAGCCTCAGGCAGCGTGAATACGTGGCTTATGGTAACCTCTCAGTTAATTCGGTGGCAAGTCCTGTGTGAGGCAGGGCCTGGATCAGGGTGGGCAGGGGTCAGGATGAGTTCTGCAAGTGCTGGGTGGATCCCATCTCTCTTGTCAAATTTTGGTAATTGGCTCATATATTTTTTTGCATTTTTATCTTTTAGAATGTTGCATTAAATTAGTCATTTTCTTGATTAGTGAAACTTTGGGGACCTCCTTCAATTTTGCACCTTAGTCATGTGTCTTACTCGCCTTCCTTAGCCTGACCTGATAAGTAGGTCCTGGAGATGCAGAGTTGAAAAGACTCAAGTTCTGTCCTTCAGGGAGCTTACATACTAATGGGAGAGAAATTGGCCATTAAGTTCAGTAAATGAAAGAGGACTGCAAAACAGTGTAATTGGGTAGAGCTGGGCAGTAGCGAGGAATGGATTAACGACTTGGGATGGTCAGCAAGGCTTTTGAGGTTTTTGGACCAAGATCTGAATATTGCGCTGGCAACGCAAAGATCTGCATATTAGGCAGAGAAAGAGAAAGCACTTGGCTTTCCAGGGCTTGAAGGATGTGTAGGATGCACTGAACAAGGAAGACAGTAGAAGAGGTAGAAGCTCCATCCTGTAGGACTTAGTTTGTGTATATGTAGAGTTCCTTTTGATTGCAATCGGTAGCTTTTGGAGGGATTTTTAGCAAGGGAGTGGTTTGTTGAATAAATATTGAAACTATAGTAGCTTTTTATCTACTATGCACTTGAGAAATGTTAGCCTTTAATTCTCACAATAGCTCTAGCATTATTTTCATTTTATGATTGTGCTTAGAAGGTTAATTCCCACAGAACCACACAGCTCGTAAGCAAAGACTCCGGCCCATCTGTAGTACTTTCCTCCATGTTACACTGAGGGTTAATAATATTTGCAGGAGGCCTGATTGTTTATAGGGCATTTCCCCATTACTTTACCGTTTGATCTTAGGGACCATCTTTATTCACCTCTTTTATTTTCGGATGCAGAGAAATATATGAAATTTGAGGGCAGGAGAGGCTCTTACTAAATTAGTTGAGCTCCTGCATTCCAACCTTTGGATCTTAACCACAGCTTAAAAAGTACTCTGCAGCAGTTATTTATTTCAGAAAAACGTTAAGATATGCTATTGGAAAAATCAAAATTACTGTAGTAATATAAGGTAAAATAGCCAAGCATGTTTTATTGCATGCTGGAATAGTTTGTCCGAGTCTTCTACAATTATTAAGTTCTTAATATTGATTTTTAACTGTCAAAACTTGATTATGATGAAATAGTATTTGTAACTGATAATTAACTTGTTCAGTAGGTTCATGAGCACCTGTTAATTTCATTAGTGAGACTCTTAGAAAGGGCCATTCTGAATTTTACTAGATGTCAAGAGATACACCTTTTTCTTCCTGCAAATCATGATCAATCAGAATTGTTGAGTTTTTAGATGCAAAATGAAGTACTGAAAGAATTGTCCTCATTCTTTCAGCAAATTCTTACTGCCTACAACTTTTAAGACATGGGGGAGTGTATGAAAAACAAGTGGGACATGGTACTTGCCCTTGTGTTTACTATCTGGGCCTGCCATCAAATAGACAAGATGCTCAGGAGTTAATCTTTGAGTAAAAGCATCATGGGGCTTAAGGGGGAGGAGATAAGGTGTATAAAATATAGCTATAATAGAACATTGGGTAGTCAAACACATCTAGTTACAGTAGGACTTTTTATAGAACAGAGGAGTTACTTCTTTATGCCAGGATAAGTGAGTAATCTGTGGGACAGGGCTTCTCAGTCTCACAATGTTGATATTTCGGGGCCAGATACTTTGTTGTGGGGGGCTGTCCTGTGCACAATAGGGAATTTAGCAGCATTCTTAGCCTCTAACTCCCCCCTTCTAGTTGTGACAACTATCTTCCAAACGTTTCCAGATGTTCCTTGGGGGGCAAGATTGCCTGTAGATGAGAACCACTACTGTACAGGATGTCTTGAGGGAATGGAAAGAGGGAGTCCTTCCATGGCATAAGGAACAAAATGGGGAGAAGCTTAAATGCAGGTGCTTTATCAGGAAAAATTATGTAATTTTAGGTGGGCAGGGTGTGTGTAAAATGCGCTAATATATAATATAAAATGCCTGGATACAGATGTGGATGTCTTCTGTGCACACTTGAGTTTTATTTGGGAGACAATGGGAACCTTTTAAGCTGTTGAGCAAAGGAGTGACAAGGTCAGAGCATTGCTTTTTAGGAAAATGAATCTGGCATTTATGTATGTGTAACTTGACTTAGCTGATAGAAAGGATATAGGGAGAAGTTGGGGGACTATTAAAGTCGTTCATGAGAGAATTCTGGACGAGAGTAATGGTAATGGAATCAGAGGATTCGTGTTTAGTCGGAGAGTAGAATTTAGCAATAAACTGCATGTGAGGAAGAGGAATCCAAGGTGACCCCGTTTTAAATTTGAGAGAGGGAGAGCATGGTAGTGCCATTAAAGAAATTGAGACCACACAATGAGAAATGGTTTGTAGAGGAATATGACAAGTTTCATTTTAAACATAGCGATTATCTGTTTATACATCTTCAAAATTGCCATTCTAGTTGAATAAGTTTTTGATTAACTGGTATTGTAGGCCATTTTGATGAACAATACACCAGGTTTCTAGATAAAAACGTCAGCTGTAGCTGCCTTTTAGATATCTATTTAGTTAGTGCCTATTATAGACTGATGCTAGGTCCTGAAGAGACAAGAATGAAGAGAACATAATTTTGTCCATTAATGAGATGATGTGAGAGGTCTAGCGTATGAGTTTATTCTGTTCCCTGACCCACCTTTTCCCATTTCCTTATTAAGACACAATCTGGAGATAGTTTATTACCTTGCCATAAACCTTGTCATACAGGTATGTAAAGCAATATGGAGTACCTATGAAGAGCAGTTAATTCTGCGTTGGGACTAAGGTGCTCTTTAGGTTGGACCTTGACATCTGTCTGCACAGGTAAATGGAGTGTTTTCTAAGCAGACAAGGCAGCATAAGCAGGTAGGAGTTACAATGCATGGTTTATAATTAAGATAGCTGTGTAGATGCATTGTTAAAAAATTTCAAGGCTCTGAAAATGTTAGACTTGGGGCCCCAATAGGCTTCATGCAAATTACATTGCTCTACCCCTACCATTTCCTGGGTTCCAAAAATTACATATGGTCATGTAGGAATAACTCATTTAGATTGATGAGTGAAGTGGGAGACAATGTCAGTTCACTGACCAGAATTTGTCAATTACTCTGCATGTGTTCATAACACACCTACAGATACATATCTTAAATTTATATTAAAATTAGCTAGGTATGATGATTTTTTTCTAACCAACTATGATGTTCTAATGGCAAGAAGTTTAAAAATTGATCAAAGGTTGTTTTCCACCTTCATTAGTACAGCTCTCACACTTGCTTTACTCTTTGGGGCAGGGAGTGATGGAGTGGATGGAGAGAAATTAAGTCAACTTTTTACAATGTCTCTTGTTTACAGAATGAATCCAACATTCTAGAGACCCTTCACAACCTCAGTCCATCTTTTCTAATTATTACTTATTAGAAGAGGCAAAGAAAACTTAA